TACTACTTCCACTACGACTTCTACGACGACTACTACTACTACTACTACTATTACTACGACCACTACTACTAGACTACTACTACTACTACTACTACTACTACTACTACTACTACTACTACTACTACTACCACTACTACTATTACTACTACGACTACGACTACGACTACGACTACGACTACTACTACTACTACTACTACTACTACTACTACTACTACTACTACTACTACTACTACTACTACTACTACTACTACTACGACTACTACTACTACTACGACTACGACTACGACTACGACTACGACTACGACTACGACTACGACTACGACTACGACTACGACTACGACTACGACTACTACTACTACTACTACTACTACTACTACTACTACGACGACGACGACGACGACGACGACGACGACGACGACGACGACGACGACCACTACCGAGGAGGGAAAAGTCGACGAGGGGGACGATGAGTTTCATTGACAGCCAATTGCTCAGGGGGGGGGGCGGCGGCAGCATAACAAAAAAACCTCTTCGGTTAGCGTTTCGCGAGTATTGCCATCTCTTGTATGCGCATCATTATACTTCCGCCGCCTTCCGCCAGCCTTCCGCCAGCCTTCCGCTGGCGGAAGCGACCTCGTTCTACTTCTACGGGATTCCGCCGCCCTTCCGACGCCCTCGGCCGAGGAAGAGATCACAACCCCCTTGATCCTCGAAGGTGAGGCTCTTTTCGGCGGCGAGCCCGGGGGGAATTGAGAAGGAGAAGGCCTTCTCAGAAGGCTCGGAAGTTCCCCCCCCTTCCCAGAATCTTCCTGACGCTCCCCCGAAGACACAGAAACTTCTAAGAAGGCGCGAGGGCTTCTGAGAAGCCCCGCCGCCTTCTGAGAAGGCCTTCTCCGTCTCGCTTCCCTCGCGGGCTCGCCGCCGATCTTTCTGAAACGCTTCATCTCTGAACCCCCTGCCCCAGCACAAAACACTCCGCGACCCATCCCGCCATCGCCGCCAACCTCGGCAGGATCGCGCCCGCGACGTCGCTGGTGCTGGCTTCTGGCACTGCGTGGACCGTTCAGCCTCGAACGATAGCGGCTTTCCAAGAGCGCAGACCGCTTGCTATCGCCGGATTATGGGCCGCTTGCGACGTTCAACCTGGAACGCCAGCCCATGGGCCCCGCCGCGCCGACGCGCCGCGAGGCTGCCGTGGTCCTCGGAACTCGCCTGCGCCACGGCGACCCTCAGGCGGCCACGACGGCCACACGCCCGCTCATGGGGCTTCCGTCGCATCAACGCGGCGCACGGCTGCCGTGGTCCTCGGAACTCGCCTGCGCCACTGCGCCCCTCAGGCGGCCACGACGGCCATGGGCGCCGCCGACCAATTAACACCGCGCCCTATCAGGATGTCCCCGTACGGCTCCTCCTGACTCACCGTGACCGCACCCTCCATGTGGAGGGCGAGGAGGGACAAGAACCTTCGGGGCACCGCGCATCTCGTCGAAAACCGTCCTCGAACCTCGAGCCTCGATCGATGTACCGCAAACTACCCAGAAGTTCGGGATCCTCGGCCCTGTGATTTTTTACAGTGTCGACACCCCGATTATCGACCCCTTCCCCAGGGCCAGCTCTTCATCCCGAGTCGACTCGGGATGAAGATAATGTGATCAGTTGGTTTGACAGTCCAAGAGATCGGCCACTAAACGTTCAAAGCAGCGGCACAACTTTCGCCGCGATCCCTTCACGACGCGAAGATGCGCGGGAGCCTGGGGCCCTCGACGCACCTTTCCTCTGACGACTAGACTTGCTCGTGACGTTAAGAGGAACAAAAACTGGAAACCCTTCGTTTTCGACCCAGTGCTCGCCCCCCCTTGCCCCCAGACCCAAAGTTGGCGTCGGGCCTGCTGGAGGCCCTGGGGGGTGCCACTGTCTTTTGCCCTTTCGAGCCTTGCTCCCGAATGCCCATTTTCAAGCTGAAATGGAGGGGGGGAAGGGGGGACTGGAGCCAAGGATTCCACTGTCTGTCCATCGACGTGCCCTCAGCCATCTCGACACTCTCCCCCAGGCCCGCTAGCCATCCTGGGCCGTTTCTTGAAGGTCCTGTGGCCGGGAAGCGGCCTCCAGAAGCCAGCAACACGGTAAGAGGCTCGACCACAAACATGTTCAGAGTGTGCGCTCTTCGGCCGTTGCGGGTCACTCAGCACGTCCCCAAGGTCATCCCCAAACGCTCGATGCTCGCCCAACTCGTCTTCGATAATACCCCTTTGGGGGTACATATAACGTGCAGCGCGGCCCCTACTGCAATAAGAAGTGGGCGTTGAGAGGGAAAGAGAGAGAGTGCGAGGACAGGAGGAAACGGGAGGAGAGGGGGACACGAGTAGGATAGGAGGATTGAGGACGAGAGGATTGAGGACGAGAAAGATTCAGCAGGAGGGGAAGGGGAAAGGAGCGGGAATGCTGGCGGGCGGGCCAGGCGGGCGAGCCTGAGCGAGCGGACCCTACATGGGCGGGTCGAGCGGGCCAGACACCAGAGCGAGCGGGCTGACTTCCAAGCAAGCAAACGGGCGGATCCTACCGGGCGGGCGAGTCGGGCGGGCGGACCCTGACGGGCAGGCCAGGCGGGCGAGCCCTGACGGGCGGACGGGCCCTAAGACGAGCGGGTCACGAAGGCGGGCGGTTGGGCTTCCAAACAGGCGAACGGGAGGCGAAAGGGGCCAGTGAGCCCTAGCGGATGCGTCGGGCGGGCGGATAGTTGAAACGAATGTCTTGGATCTTGTGTCAAGAAGCTCCGGCGAGAGCACGTCTCCTGAGTAACTGGTGGGGAAGTCTCGCGCGCGATCGCGATTCCCAGGCGTTGAGAAGGCAACGCCTAAGTAAATTGTGAGGAGGTCCCCGGCGAGAGCGCGATGCTCTGATACATTGCAGGGAAGTCTCGACCGACATCGCGATCCCCGAATAAATTGTGAGGGGGTCTGGTGCGGGAGCCGTTGTAGTAGTATCTGGGGCCCGAAGGGCACAGGTTGACGACTCTCGACCACTTCTCTGGGACCCGGCTGCTCCTCTGACTACTTCTCTGACGGCCCCGAGGCTGCCCGAGGGCCTCGAGAGGCCGAAAACTATGAAAACCCTCCGTCTCGATGTTTGCTCGGGGCGCCGACGTCGGGGAGCAGCAGCAGAACACGCGCCGCGGCGATCTGCTACGTCGCCAAGACCTCAGGGGGCGGCGGACTGCCCGCGCCCCGCGGAGCCTCTGCGCGGCCGCCTCCGCCCCGCCCGGGGGCCGCTCGCACAGCTCCAGAAAGGACACGGCCGAGGCCCCGCTGCCGCCCTCCCCGCCCAGGGCCGCCTGCAGCTCCGCCTCCTCAAGACGAAGCCAGAATGCGGGGAAAAGCTCGTGAGGATAGATCGAGCAAATCCTCCTCCTCCTCATCCTCATCACCCTCCTCCTCCTCTTCCTCCTCCTCCTCCTCCTTCCTCCTCCTCCTTCTCCTCCTCCTCATGGCGGCTCTGGAGGACGTCTCGGGCGCCGCGGCCTTCTCAGAGCCGTCCGGGACGCTCTAGATGAGAGCGTCCCGGAACGCTCCGGAACGGATTTGTCCTCGTCCTATGGCCCCGTCCGGCTCCTGCTCTCTGGAGACGGCCGCCTGCTCCAGGCCGGGGTAGTCATCGGCGGCGCCCTCCTCTGGCTCCTCCCGGGCATCGCGGGGGGTAGCCCAGTCTTCGGGCAGGCTCTTTCTGATTTCTCAGTGTCCGTTTCGACATCTGGGGGTCATTGTCGGTCAGCGAGGCCATCAGCAGTGCATCCGGGGCGGAAGACTTCGATCCTGGGGAAGGGGTCGAGGCCAGTGGAGTGGGGGCCCGCGGATCGAACAACAACACTCCGTCCGGTGTCTGGGGATGGGGCGCTGGGTCCCTGGAGGGCGCCCGCGGAAGGCGCTGTGGACCTGGGTAACCCGTCCGTGGAGGCCGCCCAAAGAGGGCGACGCAGAGAAAAAGGGTCTACGTGCAACGACGCGCGACCTTGCGCGGTGGCTTGCGCGGGCCGCCAGCGCGCACGACCACGCAGGAACGAGGGGTGCCTGCTCGCGACCCGGCGCGGGCAACGAAGACTAAGTGTCCGCGCAGTCGACCCGCCTTCTGCACGCCGCTCGGGTGGTGCTGGGCACCTGGGGCGACAGTCGACCCGTATAATAAGGACGCGCGGTAAGGATACAAGGGGCCTTGGAGGCCACGTCGACGCTCTGCGGGCCTGGCGCGGCCAGCGAAAGCGGCCAAGGATTTGTTCCCCCCAAAGAAAAAGCGGGCATTCAGTAGTAAAATGCCAGCGGCGCGAGCTCAGGGAAAAAAGCCTGTCCTAAGTAACATTTCCGCGGCGCGTCAGCCCGCAACAAAAATGTCACGACATTCGGCCCGCATAAAGGGCTCGCACCGCATCGCGCATCGGCGCGACGCGGGAACCAGATCGGGCTCCGCCGTGACGCCTCGGCGATGCGGCACGACCCTCCTGCTCCATCTGGCGGATTCCAAAAACACTGAACCCGAAAATGTTGTCATCTGTTGGGGGCGCATTTCCTACTTCCGCCACCTTCCGCCGCCCTTCCTTTTTTCAACGCGACTCCCTTAGCCTTGGAAGTTTAGCGGGGGCTTCAGCACAACCGTGAAAACGACGCGGCGCGTTTCAAAATCGGAAACGAAGCCCTGGAACGGACAGCGGGTGCAGAGCGACAGGCCCGACTGGCCTCAGCCCCGCTCCCGCGCACCCCCACCCCTGCGGGAGTGGCACTTGCGGGGACGGCTCCCCCCCCCCTCTGGTGAGGAGGAAGGCGCAAACCGCCGCCCTTCCGCTAGCTTCCGCCAGCGGAGGCGGCCTCGCTTTGCTTCCGTCGACCTTCCGCCGCCCCTCCGCCGCCTCCCGCCGAGGAAGCGATGACGAGGGCTTCGACCCTCGAAGGCGGGGCCCTCTTTGGCCACGCCTCCTCTGCTCCGGCCCCGCCCGGCGGGCGCTTCCGCCGCGGGGCGGCCCCGTGGGGACCAGGGGCGGGCGGCCCCCGCCCGCCCCTCGGGGTGTTCCCCAGGAGGGCGTTCCCCAGGAGTAGGGGGCAAACAAACCTGCCTCGCTTTTGACCGCCCTCGCTTCCAGGAGGTACCAAGCGATGCCAAGCTACAGCCTGTAATTACTGGTCAGGCCGCTCGGCGAGGAGGCGCGTGGTGCGACCTGGTTCTGCCTGGAAGCGACAGCGGGGTGGGTAATTCACGCTCTGAGGGAGGGCGTTCCCCAGGAGGGCCCGCCCAGGAGGGCGTTCCTCTGATCAGGCGTCAATGCATGAGGGCGTTCCCCTGGCCCAGATCCCCGACCTCATGGCAGTTTCGCCACGTCGACCCCCCGAGGTCTCGACACCCTCCCCGGGACCCGCTCTTCGGCCTTCGAGTCGTCTGCTGATCAGGCCCCGAGGCCCGACAAGGGCCCCCGGGAGGCCGAGCATAGCAGAAACCTTCTGTCCTGATGTTTGTCTGGTCTCGAGGGGATCTGGGAACGCGGCCTACGCCCGCCCCGCCCGCTCCTCCTGCCTCCTCCTGCGCGAGGGCGGCTCCCCCGGCTCGCCCTCTGCCGGCCCGACTGGGAGCCCATCCTCCGCCTCCGCCTGGCGACGGGCGGAGGCAAGGGGCGCGAATCGGCGACACGCACCTCCCGGCGGCGCCTCCGACGCGCCAGGAGCGGCGTGAGAGGCGCCGCCGGGAAGGGGGTAGGGGTTGGCCAGCGCCGACCCAAGACACCCGCGCGGACCTCCGAAAATTTGCTCTGATGCAGTTGGTTGCTACTCGGCCACCCACAGATTGTCATAGGGGTGCGCTCTGGCCAAAAGAATCTCGAGGAGAACCCAGCCGTGGCAACGGAGAACCCCCAAGATGCCCCGAGATGGACGAACAAAGTGTTCGGGCGTCATTCTGTTGTGCAGCTGCGACACCCAAACACATCACACACACACACACCCTCTCACTTCCACACTTCACACTTTCACACTTACACGCTTACACGCTTACACACTTACACACGTACATACTTGCACACTTACACACTTACGCACTTACACACGTACACACTTAAGCACGTACACAGTTACACACTTACGCGCTTACACACGTACGCACTTACACGTGTACAGACTTACACTTACACTTACACGCTTACACACGTACACACCCACACACTTACACACTTACACACTTACATATTTACACTCTTGCACACGTATACACCTGCACCCTTACGCTCTTACACACGTACACACATACACACGTACACATGTACACAGTTGAACACGTACACACTTACGCATTTACACATACACACACAGCACACACACAACACACAACACAACACAACATAGCAAATATAACACAACAACAAACAAACAAACGGCCCCGATGTCTGTGTGCTTGCCGCTACATCCGAGCCTCCATGTTGGTGGGATGCTCTGGCGCCTGGGCGTCCCTGCCGAGCCCAGCGGGCCGCCCCAGGGGCGTGCCGAGGGAGTCCCGGCGGAGCCCCGGCTGCGGCGACGCGGGCTCCTGCAGCGGGGCGTGCCGACGCCCCCTTGTCGTTCACCCCTCTGCCTCTCTGCAGCCCGTCTCTCTCTCCCTCTCTCTCTCTCTCTCTCTCTCTCGCTACCTCCCCCAGCCCCCCTTCCCCATCCCTGTCCCCCCTCCCTTCCCTCCCCCCCACGGCTCCCTTCAGGATCCATCCCGCTTCCACCCCCTCCCCGCCCCTCCATCTCGGTATCCCCCATACCGTCTGCACCGCCCTGCACTCCCCTGTGCCCCCGCCTTCTCTCCCGCCCTCCTGCCCCACCCTCCCCATATTTTTCCCCCTCCGCGGCCGCTGTCCGCCACTGGCCCCGCCTAGAAGGAGGGAAGGCCGCCCGCTGCCCCCTCAGCCGCCACATGCCGACCCGCGGCCAGTCTCCACGGCGGAGTACGACGCGGCCGCTGCGGTGATCGCCTCGTGCAGGTCGGTGCTTCCTTTCGCCCTCACCCGCCTGCGCCGCGCAGGTGGAGGCGGCTGCTCGGGCAGTCCGTGTGCTGCCAGCAGGGCCAGGAGCCCCAGCAGCGCTGTCCCCAGCAGCGGCAGCGACGCCACCGCGCGGCTCTTCACCTCGCCGCCGTTTGTCTCGTAGTGGTAGAACCAGCCGAAGAACATGTGCGACATGGCCACCGCGAAGGCACGGGCGGCGGCGATGGCACCCTGTAGGAGCCCCTGGTCCTCCTCGCTCACGAGGTTGCTCTTGATGGCCGATATGACCGGGAAGAGCAGGCCCATCGGGCCTCCCAGCAGCGCCATGATAGCGAACAGCTGCCACACCTCGCTGCACCTGGCGAGGAGCGCAGGGTAGACGGCAACAGTGGCGAGGGTTGCTCGCAGTGCGCCGACCTCGCCGAAGGCGATCACGAGTGGCCGAAGCAGCAAGGCAAGGCACACGAGAACCGAGAAGCCAGAGGTCGCCATCAGCCTCGCCGCCTCAAGCTTCGTCACGCCCAGATACGCTGTGATGTACGGCGCCAGAATGGTGCTCAGCCCTGTCGTGGAGACCCCCGAAGTCACCATCACCACAGCCATGCCAGAGAGGAAGGCGTTCCGCCGGAACAGCGCGTAAGCGTCCCTGATGGCAGCTGTGGGACCCTGCGCTCGCCTGTACGGCAAGTCCAACGGCGCGGTCTCCGGCATCGTGACGAAAGCAAAGGCGAGCTTCACGGCGCAAGTCATGGCAGAAACGACAACGGCGAGCTTGGCGGGGATCATGCCGGCAACGAGCTCCACCAATCCCGACGTGCCCAGGTACGTGGCATAGAGCGCGCAAAATCCAGCCAATCGTGAGTTGGGCTCAGGGATCATATCGCTCATGAACGCCAGGAAGACGCCGTTGACATCGAAGGCCATGTAGGCGGGCTGGAGCACAAGGAATATCCAGAGGGTCCGCCCTGCGAAGACGTGTAGCGCCAGCGCTGCAACCGGTAACACGGAGAGCGCAGCCTTGATGCGGATGATGGCCAGGTCGGACGAAAGGGGGGGGATAGCAAAGGCGCGGGGGTCGCGAACCAGCTCATGCAGCTGGTTTCCCCAGCGCCCGCCAGCGCCTGAGGCGCCCATGTATCGAGGAAAGCGCCCAGCGGCGGAGCCGAAACCAATGCATGCAGCAGAATTTGGCAGCTCCCCTTTTCCCACTTCCTCCCATTTCATCCTCAGGGCCCCGAAAACGGGAACCCGCGTAAACCAGGACACTCGCGCGCCCAGGAGAGCTGCAGCCGCAGATCGAGGCGCTCGCCCTGGCCTGCAGTGTGCTAGGCCCCCGGGGCCCCGACTTCCGCCCGACCCGAGATGGGGCGCCGGCCCACCGAGTCGCTGGCGGAGCCCAGCGAGAGGGCCGCGAGCCACGCCACCCCGGCCGACAGTGCGGAGCACGCGCCGTGGAACACGGCGGAGAAGGCGGCGGCCTGCCGGCAGGGCTCGGAGGAGGGAGCCACCTCGCAGTCTCCGCCGCCGCGGGCCGCGGCGAAGAAGGTGAGCTCGACGGCGGGAGAGCAGAGAGCGGCACGGGCAGCAAGAGAACGCTTCGGAAGTCCGCGCGGATCCCTCGGGTGAGCGCCTGACACCCCCTGTCCACTGGCGCGCGGGGCGCGCCAAGGGCCGGGGCCCAGGGGGGGGTCCAGCGCCGACCATAGAAATGCACTCGGACTTTCGAAAGCTCATACGGTTACACAATGTGAACACTACTCGCCTCTCTCCTCTGACTCCGTCCAAAGGGTTTCTGGCCGTCTCCGCGTATTGTTTCGTGACTCGCAGGAGTTCAAAACGTGTTTTCCCAAACCATCCTGTGGCGTTAGGTCGTTATTTTGAAGAGGCAGCGCTCCGCATCGCTCATTCCTCATTTCTCATCCCTCCCCTCCCTCCTCCCAACAATGCCTCAGCCCACCGCCCGTCAACCATTCCGACACACTAATCACACGTCTCGTGGACCCACAGGGATGTCCACCGAAGGCCCCAGCGGCAGGGTCCGCATGGCGGCCCCGTACCCCATTCGGCACACCCTCGCACGTTCCGTGGCTCCACACGGAGCTACACCGAAGGCCCCAGTGGCTGCGTTCGCATGGCGTCGCCGAGCACATTTCCGCGCGCCCCTCGCAAGTTGCGTGGCCACACGGAACTCCACCGAAGGCCCCAATGGCTGCGATTGTATGGCGACGCCGCACATATTTCGGCGCACCCCATCACACGTTTCACAGCCCGGTAGGGAGCCCCACTGGAGGCCCCAGTGGCAGGGTCCGCATGGCGACCCCGTGCCCCTTTCGACACACCCCTCACACGTTTCGTGGCCCCACAACGAGCTCCACCGAAGGCCCCAATGGCTGCGTTCGTATGCCGTCGCCGCACCCATTTCGGCGCACCCCTCTTACGCTTCGTGGCCCCACACGGAGCTCCACTGAAGACCCCAGTGGCTCAGTTCGCAAGGCGTCACAGCACCCATTTCGGCGCACGCCTCGCACGTTTCGTGGCCCCACAAGGAAACTCGCCGAAGTCCCCAGTGGCTGCGTTCGCATGGCGTCGCCACACCCCCTTTTCGGCGCACCGTTTCAAACGCTTCGTGGCTCCACAAGGAGTTCTGCGGAAGGCCCCAGTGGCTGCGTTCGCATGGCGTCGCCACAAACATGTCGGCGCACCCCTCACTCGCTTCACAGTCCCACACGGAGCTTCACCTAAGGCCCCAGTAACTGCGTTCGCATGGCGGCCCCGCAATCAGTCCTGCGCACCCCGCACACGCTTCTTAGCCCCGTAGACCCATAGATGGTCCCACCGGAGGCCCCAATGACTGCGTTCGCATGGCGTCGCCGCACCCAGTTCGGCGCACCCCTCACACATTTCACAGCCCCGCAGGGAGCTCCACCGAAGGCCCCAGTGGCTGAGTTTGCATGGCGTCGCCGAACACATTTCGGCGCACCCCTCGCACGCTTAGTGGCCACCTACGGAGCTCCACCGAAGGCCCCCGTGGCTGCGTCCGCACAGATTTAGGCACACCCCTCACACGTGTCGTGGCGACATTGGGAGCTGCCCTTCCTTTGTCCCACCTTCCTTGCGGCACTTGCAACCGAATATGTCTGGGTCCTTCGCTTCATGGCTGGCTTCCAATTCGATTATTTCCGGTGCTTCAAATTGATTATCCCGCTGCAGCCTGGGCCTCATGTTCGGATCGGCTCTTTGCCCCCATCGCTCAGAATAGCGCCGTCGCCCCAGCGCGGGCAACTTCTGAATCCAAATATGTTGTCATTGTTGTCGGCCCCCTCATTTGCTCTCCCCCGCCTTCCCCTGGTCGTTCTGCTCCTCCCACTCCTCCCGCTACTCCCGCTCCAGCTCCTGCTGCTGCTGCTGCTGCAGCTGCTGTTCGTCCTCGTCCTCATCTGTCCTCATCAATATTCTTCTCTTCCCGCTCATCCTCCTGCTTATCCGCCACCTCATCCTCCTCCTCCTCCTCCTCCAATATACGCACTTCCCTTTTTTTCCCGATTGCGCATCACACGATGTGGTCCTCGTTGGACTTCCAGGTCCGCTATGACAAACTTCGGCGGATAGAGGTAGGCAAACAAACAAAAAACGCGCGACAATGGGAAGGGATGGGCGTGAGGGGTAAGAAAAGTCAGATATGGCGCGAGCGCATCTGGCTTGGCTCTATGTGCCCCTCCCTGCTCTCCGGGATGAACTGCACGTTCGGGCCCACTACGGAGTACTGCAGGACGGTGAGAAACAGGTAGACCAAGAGGTACCTCGGCAGCTCCAGAGGGCGTGGCTTGCAAGCCGGTGCGGCTTGCAACCCGCGCCCGGAGGTCGTCGTCGTCGTCGTTCAGGGTCGGCGGCACCGGGGTGGGGCCTCACAGGCAGACCAAGAGGACACCTCGGCAGCTTTGCATGGAGGGCGTGGCGGCTTGCAAACGGCGGGGGCGGCTTCTTGCAACCCCCGCGCGCCCAGAGGGCGGGCGAAGAGGCCCGTCGACAGAGATCGACCGCCGCCGCGCCCCGACGAGGGCTCGCCGAAAGCCTTGGCGCAATGGGGGGTGACCCCCGACAGTCGAAGTCTATACAGTCGAAACGCTGTCATAAGGATCCCTAGACAAGGAACGAGGCCCCACTTTTGCTCATAAGTTAGACTTCGACTTCCCATAGAAACCCTAAAGACAACCTATAAATGTCTAGTAGTACGGACGGGCGGTGAAGTCGGGCCGCTGAAATAAGGAAAGAAGTAAGGAACGTCCAGCTCCTTCCGAACCCAAACTGTTTCTTTTTCAGCGTCTTGACTGTTTGGACACAAGGGCAAAATGGCACTTCTTGGGTGGCGGCCTGTCAACACCCGGAAGAGCTGCTGCCCAGCGAAAGCCGCGAAGGATGGACGGCAGAGGCAAGGACGCACGGGTACCCTAAGGCCATCCGTGCCTCCGTACGATGAGTTTTGATTGTGTAAGCACCAACGGCGCCGATCGAACATCACCCCCTGGCGTACCCACACCCATTTCCCAGACCACCCGACGTCATGGTTTCTTCATGACGTCGACGCCCGAAGACCCGTTCCCTGGGACCAGTTTTCCAGCCCGAGTCGTTGCTTGACGGTCCAGAGGCCTGGCAAGGCCCGCCAAAGGCTGCAAATAATGAAAACCTGCGTCGCGTTTTTTTCATGACTCGTGGGGTCTGGATTTTGAGCAACCACGACATTTCTTGCAACAGAATCGAACCACAAAACAACGCTCTTGAGACGTCAACCCGATGCGTGAAACCAAGACGGCCTCGGCCAGAAACGTTCTCAGAACGGCTCGTGCAAATCACAACACGGTCCTTGGAACAGCCTCCGGTTCCGAGAACGCTGCCGGGACGCCTCGCCACCCCAGATGGTCTGGTACCGGGAATTCTCGGTAGCGATTTCGACGCACCCCGAATTTCGGTAGCGACCGGATCTTCGTTTGAGGGCGTTGAAATAGCGGATTTCGGAACGCTCTGATACCGGTATTGGGCGCTACATTTCGGTATTTCGGTAGCGACCGATCTCTGCGGAGCGCTACCGGAAATTTTTGGTAGCGGACCATCAGGGACTGCTATTAATGTTGCCGCCGCCGAGCACCGGAGCCGGGCCACGAGCACCCGGCAGCCCACCGGCTCCTCGGGCTCGGTGGGCGCGCCGCGGCTCTGCGCGCCGCCGCAGCCGGCCTCGGCGTCCCGGCAGCGCGGGGGCTCCACGCGCACGGGCCGCCCGCCCATGGCCACGCCGGCCACGGGGCTCAGGCCATCGCTCTGCATTGCATGGCGCGTGCCCGCGCCGGCCCGCGGGGCGGTCGGGGTGGCCCGGCGCGGGCGACGGGGGGGGGCGAGCAGAACAGCGGTCGTGTTGGGAGGACGGGGGCTTTTCGGGGAGGCTGCAGCGCATCCGGTTGCAAGGAGCGATGCACCTTCGGCCGCCTATAGGTGTGCGGGTAATGAGATACCCTCCCGGCGGCAGAGGCGATCCCCAGGACAGCCGGCGCCTCGGTGGTTCCCCTCGAGGCGCGGGCCCCGCAGACCTCTCGGCCACCTTCCGCGGGGCCGCTGCTCCGCCTCCCGAGCCCTGGCTGCGGTGGCCCCGATGCCCGGTGAGGGCCCCGAGGGGCCGAAAGGGGCGAAAAGTGAGACGAAGCCAGGATGAGGAGGATAACATTGGGTGAGGATATAAATCGAGAATCTCTGAGATCTGGCGGCTCTGGAGGATGTGCCGACCGCCGCGGCCTTCTCAGAGCGTTCTGGAACCCTCTGAGAGCGCTCCAAAACGCTCTGGAACGGATGATAGATCCCTGTCCCAGTCAGTTACCCCCCTTCGCCCGGCCCGAGGGGCGCGGACCTCCGCGGCGTGTGTAGAAGGTTGTAAGGAGCCTCGAGGGCCTCGAGCCAAACAGATGGCCACGGAAGGAAACGGAGGAGGAAGAGGATGATGATGATGATGATGATGATGATGATGATGATGATGATGATGATGATGATGATGATGATGAGGAGGAGGAGGAGGAGGAGGAGGAGGAGGAGAAGAAGAACAAGAGGAAAAGGGAACAAGGAGGGTGGCCGAGGGTGGGGCCGCTGGCCCTCACAGCTGATGGGAAGAGGGGCTGGTCATGGGCAAGCCTGCGTAGAGCGCAGCCAGGCTACTGCCGGCCGGGACCCCGCCCAGGATTCCATGAAGACTCGAACCCCGTCTGTGTGGCCGGCTTGGGGAAAAAAAAGTTTCGGCGACTCCGAGGGGTGTGGTTTGCAAAGGGTGTGGTCTGCAACTGGCACCCTGGGGGGCGCCCTGGGGGGCGGGCAAAGACCTCGACAGAGCTCTCCGCCGCGCCCCGAGGAGGCCCGACGAGGACAGCGTTGTGCTCCCCAGGCTCCAACGGTGCCAATCGCAAACCACACCCCGGCGTAACCATACCCCTTGCCGGGACTGCCAAAAAATGGCCCTCGAGGTGAGAAGAGTTTGTGCGAGGACCCAGGCACTGGTTTCTGACACCGCGTGGACCGCTAGGCCCTGAACGATCGGCGATCGGGGCTCAACGACAGCGCGGACCTCTCGATGTCGGTCATCCCTGCCGTTGGTCAGCATGGGGACTCCCGCGCCGGGGTCGCCGCGACCGTCTCCAGACTCTCCTAGCCTCGGCCCAGGAGGACGCGTGCAACCCTGCAGGGGCCCAGGAGGGCCTGGCAGGACACGGCGGTGTGCCCCAGGCGTCCGGCGTCTGGATCTCTCGAGACACGGGCCCCCGACCTCACGACCACTTCACTGGGAACGGCTCTTCCTCCCGAGTCGTTGACTGGTGGCCCGGCCTGGTGAGCCCTGCGGGGCCGCAAACGCTGGTGACTTTTTGCTCTTCACCGGGTAACGGTCGTTACTGGGGAGGGGGGTCGGGCGGGAGGGTAACGGCGGCCGCGGCGTGCACCAGCCAGGGTGCGTCCGCGCCACCAGCGCATCAATCGCCGATGTGCGCACAACATGTAGGGGGCTGCCCAGACCCCCCCCCTACGATCGTTAGCGTTACCCCCTGGGCCTCGCGTAGTGAGGGGGCGATGCTTCGGGGGAAAGAAAGGCGCACCTTTCGAACCCTAAAGGCCCCCTGTGGGGCCAAGCCTTTACGGGCCCTCAGGCCTGAGAAGCTCCTGTTCTGCAGCCCTCGCTGCGCGCCACCCCATGACGCGCGGCCCAAAATTACCCGGGGGGGGGGGGGCCAGGTAACGAGCGTTGAGTTACCCTGAGGAGGAAAAAACGCTTTCGCGAGCATCTCTGCGGTGTGCCCCTCTTCCTCCTCCTCCTCCTCCTCCTCCTCCTCCTCCTCCCCCTCCCCCTCCCCCCTCCCCCTCCCCCTCCCCCTCCCCTCCTCCTCCTCCTCCTCCTCGTCCTCGTCCTCTTCCTCCTCCTCCTGGGCCTGGGAGCGGCCTCCCCCCCGCCCGTCTGCAGCCCCTCCCAGCTGGCCCGCCCCGCGTGGGGGGGGGGGGGCGGGCGAGTCGGCTCCTGGTCCGTGGCCGTGGCGCCCCCGCCGGGCAGCGGCGAGTCGGGGGGCGGCCCGGGCCCCGGGGAGAGCCCCTCCTGCCGGAAGGGGGGCGCGCAGCTGTCGTAGACGTCGCCGTCGTCGTCGTCGTCGTCGTCGTCGTCGTCGTCGTCGTCGTCGTCGACGTCGTCGTCGACGTCACCCTGCCAAGAGGGTGCGCGCCGCCACGCTGGTCGAGACGGGCTGTACTGTACTGCCCGGCTGAGGGGGAAGCGGAGGGGAGAAGCAGGCAGGCGACGCCAAACGCGCAGGCGGGAGGCCCGGGCCTGCGGGGCGGGCGGGCGGGCGGGCGGAAGAGGGGCCGGGCGGAGACAGCGGGCAGGGAGCAGGAGTCGTAAGTACTTGCAGCCGAGAATCCGCCGACTCTTCGGCGTGTGTGAGACGCGTTTCCGTTTGAGTCGTCGACGTCGTAGTCGTAATCGTCGTCGTCGTCGCCGCCGCGATCCCCAAAGAAATTGAGGAACAAGGAACAAGACCATCTTAAATACATCGACTGCATTTCCATTATCCCTTCCCTGCTGGGGGGGGAAGTGTTTACAGCCGAAAATCTGATCCAGAAAATCAGCATTTAAGAAATACGGGCCAGCTTCCAGGGAGCTATATCTTGGCCAGTTTCTGTTGGTAACGCTGGCGGTGCGAACGTGCTAAAGAAACTGGGCCAGTTTTCGGGCAAGTTGGTTAAGCACCTCTGGCCCAGCCTTTCCAGAGGTTTCTGAATCAGATGCTCGAATGTACTCCATCCCTGAAAACTTGGCGTCGCAATTCGTTTGAGCCGGTCGTTTTCGCAGAGTGCCCCCAAGGCTCCTCACAGATCGATCTGGCTTGAAAAATGCTGCAGCAAGATGGGGTCAGGGGCTCTGGTCCCGATGTTTCGCAATTTTGGTCGTGTTGCGGACAGTCTCCCAACAGTGCCTATGGGGATCGCCCGTCTCTGCCATTTGTGCCGCACATGCCCGCGCTAACGAGACGTGGTGTTACGCCCGAGCGGAGGGCGCAGCACTCAGGTCGGACGAAAGGGGGGTGGGATGCAAAGGGGGGGCTAGCTAGCGAATGGGCTGCACGCACCTGGCATTCCTGGCGCCTCCCGGAGCTGGAGGCGGCCGTGTATACCGAGCAGAGGGCACGGCCGCGGGGCCAGAACCAGCTGCACGCGGCAGATTTCGTGACCCCCCCCCGTTCCGTCCCCCCACCCCCCCGGGCTCGTCCCCCCCGAACCAGGCAAGACATCGGCGGCCCTCGTCAGGCTTCGGGCGGATTGATTCTGCTCAGTCCTGGGGCGCTCTTCCTCCACTCCCCGTCGCTCGGACGTCCATTCCCTATGTTTTTTCGGTTTCGTGCGTGGTCTTGTTCGCAGGATGATCCATGATGCTCCTTAAGAATCCCCGCCGAGAAAAAGTGCACACGTCCGAGCGATACCAAGTCAATTTCAGCCTCGCGCAGAAGCCCCCGAGGGGGAAGAGGGGCGGCAAAATGCTGTACTGCGTCGAGGACCCTGGACTTCGGGCGGATGTCTTGTATTCCATCCTGCGGCGTTTCTCCCTGACGGCCTCCGAAGGGGGCCACATTCAGGCCCCTGGCAACCAGTCGGTCGGCGGCCCTCCACGTTGCAGCGGGCAGGCGAAACGCGAGCCAAGGAAGCTACAACACAGAGGGAGAGACAATCAGACTGAACCAGGATTGCCAATGGCATTCTTGGCCCAAGGCCCCCCAGCTGTTATTCGGAAGCCCCTGGAGTTCCCTGGGCCAAGTGAGGTGTGCTCTGGAAGCACTGGGAGATCACCTGGAATTTACGGGGGCACCTCGGGCCAGGGGAACTAATGGCAAATCGGAAGTTCAAGGGGCAAAGCCACTCTTCTGGATGGCAGCTGGACGTCCACTCCTCCTCCTCCTCCTCCTCCTCCTCCTCCTCCTCC